GCCACGGGACTTCTGTGATATCTCATGTGAATTTGTCATGAGAGCACAGTGTTTGCTTAATGGGAAATGCAGTCTAGCCAGAGGAAAATGGGATCATGAAGCACTCACTCTACAAACTATACATGAGTCACTGGGGCACCCTTCTTCCGAATTCAGGTTTTCAGGAACAACACTGTCCAACTGGCTGTACTCCTATCTAGTCGTGCCCACTCAGTATAACATATTCACTCTACTAAATTCTCAGTGCTTTAGGGGAATGTATTTGACAGGGAACAGCTTGAGATAGAGAAAAGACCTTAGGAATAATCAGGATCAAAGAGAAAACACTGCTTGAGACTTACTCAGTTACATCTCTGTTGAGAGGAAACTCCACATTCTGTGGTATGGTAAGTAAGGCTGATGCATAATTTGCAGCCTTTGTGTGCAGCCCAAGCCTCCCCATACCTCTGCAGAACAGCTCTGACTGTAACAGCAACAGACCTGGCAGGAGCTTACATGACCAAAAAGAACAGTAGCAGATATGGGTTGAAAATCAGTATTAACTGCCTTAGAGCTGTTGAGTTGTGAGGACCTGCTACTCTCAGTGATGTTAATTTGGTAAGAAATGTTAATTTGTTGACAAGTCTGCATTTGTTACTTTTGAAGAGTCTCTCCTGCTTTGCTGACTCATTTCGTGTGGTTTTTTGAACTTGCCTTCTTCAAATTCTCTCCTAATGGACGGGTTGTCCAATCTCCTTTGCATTTACAGCTGTGTTTGTGGAGGTTTAGAGCATGTGTTTCCAGAGCACTGTACTTCTAACCAAGCAATAAATTCTCCTAAAGCATCAAAACGATTAGAAAACATTAAAGATCTATTTTGTGCTGTAAGCACTGGAGTATTAAAAGCCTAGTCCATTGCCCTTTGAAGGCAATCAAGGGGAATTCAGATTGATTTCAGTGGACTTGGAGTCTGAACCTAAGTCAGCATCATGAATTTTTTTCATGATTGTGTCATTTGCTTATAGACATTTCTAGATTGTGTCATTTGCTTATAGACAAACTATTAACATGTTTTATCTCTGGAGATGCTTTAAAATTATTAGACACATTCCAGGTACACAAACCCTCATTTTAACTTCCTATGGGAAAAGCTTTTATATTTTAATATGCTGTCATACAGAAGCCTGGAATGGCTGGGGGTTTTGTTTCTTTGGTAGGGTTAAAAAGTGTTTCCTCTCTCTCATCATTGCACTTTCACTTTAAGTTATAATATGATCTAAAATTTAGGTGTTTTTTAAATGTCCCCCAAGGCTTTATACAATATTTGTACTCACAGCCATACTATTAGCAATGTTAGTAGGTGATGTTAGTAGAAGACTCATTTATTGAGCTGTGTTTGAAGAAAGGAGAAATCCTAACCTTTTTTGTGAGTAGGTAATTGTGAGAAATGTGGACTATTGCCAACCTTAAATACCCAAATACCCAGAATCAGACCCTGAAAGAGTCCGAGCAGTTTAGAAATTCAGAAGAGAGTTCTAAACCAGCATAGTAAAACAATATACATCGATGAGATTTTAAAGGAAAAGAAGCAGTAGCAAGATTTGTGATAAAGTTGATAGAGCTGGTACCTATTTGTCTGTGAAACAAAATACAGGTCATTGCTGGCTTCCTTGTGGGTCCAGAATTTGTCCAGCTTGGTTCCCTGGGCTTTAGGGAACTGATTTTGGGGAGGTGTTTTTAGGAATTTGTTGGAAGTGAATTCTGCTGCTGATTTTTTCACTAGCTGGTTGTTGATAGTACTACCTGGGCATTCAGTCAACAGCTGAACGCTGGAAGCCAGTTGCTGTTACTTTATAAATTGAAATAGATGCTCTTTTACGTTATGCATATGCATTTGAGTGAGTTGGATATGAACACTTGCAGCGTTGTGAAAATAAGCATTGTGGTATTGAAAGCTGTCTTAACTGGACTGGTCAAGTGCATTCCCCACCTCTTTCTGCAAATAAAATCAAAGGCAGTTCTTCTAGTTCTTCACAGAAGAAGGAACCAGAAACCGAACTCTTAAGTTAGGATGAAGATTGATCACAGCAGATTTATCCCATGTTGAAATGGTGGAATTTATCATAGGTCTGCTGGCTTCCATAGCTTTTCAGGATATATCCTCATGTGAAGAAGACTGGTCCAGTGTTTCCTGGGCTAACTTAGGGCTATCAGAAAATCTGCATGTCACGGATTTCCTGTTTGATGTTGAGCAAGTCCCAGTCCCTTCTTTTAAGCTGTCTGTATGTAGTTTGGTACTTTCCCATTGGAAGGACAAATTAGAGATTGCAAGCTGACCTGATAGCAGAGGCCATCTCTGTTTAGACAGATGGAATCCATTGTCTGTCTTGCAGAGCCATTGTGTTCATTTAAAAATGCATGTGTTGCAGCATAGCAGAGAAGTTAAATTGTTTTGCAAAGTGAGGACATTCTATTTTTTTCCCGTAAAACCAGTATGAACGACCGCAGTTTCCCAATCTCCCGTTCCTGAAGCAGAGAGAAGCATCCCCAAAGGGCTTGTGAAAGACCTCCAGAGATCGTTTGGGTATAAACAGATAATATCTTTATACCTAATGGTTGCTTATTTATAAAAAAAACAGATCACAAACTTTTAGAGTTTGTCCTTTCTGGCAGCAACTGCAAAAAGTTCGGGAAGTTAATCTCGTTTTCTGACTGGGATAGTGACTTCAAGGTTAGGGAGATTAGCTGCAACATATATTCCCAGGAATAACTATTGGCAGCACTAGAAGCAGCTGAAAAAAAGATGGTTTTTCATGTAAGGTGGAAAAAAGTAAAGAAAGATACAGAGAAGAATCTGTCATGCATGTTGCTGCAGTTGATCCTTCTGATAGCTCTGATAGTGATAGATAGTATTAAAGGTGTGGTGAATGATGACAGCCATGAAAAGGCAGAGAGCACTGGCAGCAACCCGGGCTAACACAGCTGAGGGATTTCAGTTGGGATGCAGGAGAGCCTTAGGCACTTCATGGCTGATAATCACTGGCATGTGCCTGGTGGTTACCAAGCAGAGGAGTGAAATGACACAGAGGGAGGACAGACATACGGACAGAGCATCAAGCAGGGCTACCTCTGCCACCAGGACAAGGGGGAACCCAGGGAGAACTGATTGCAAACAGAAAGTCTCCAAATCTTGGAAAATTTTCTCAGAATAAGCTAGGCAATCCTTCACGATCAGTTCGCTGATCTGGAGGTACGTGCTGATCACTTGGTTAGGAAACTTGCTTAGAAGGGTGGACAAGAGACTTTGCCTTTTGAAAAGCAGAAGGTAACGCTGTGTTCTTTTCCTTATTCATCAAATGAAGGGCCTGATCCCATGCCAAGTGGAGCACATGGAATTACTTCCTTTGCCTTTGATACGTTCTCACTCAGCATTTCATTAATAGACTTGATTTTATAAAGAGTTTTTGGTCTTGAACTTTTCACTCCACCTTTCTCAGATAGAAAGATGGGACCCACACTTATGAATTTCAGATGGGTTTTTTTGCTTTCAAGGTGTGTGCATGGAGACCTCTGAACTTCCTGGACACAAATGATCATGAAATTTGGCCTACGCTTAAAAGTAGGTCTGAATGATGCCAAAAAGTTTTGAAAGTGAATTTCAATCTGATTATATTTGTAATGCTCCTATGAATTCCAGGAAATGCTGAAATATTTAAACTCCAGAAGAAGGGAAAGCAATGAAAAGTGGCTTGAAATCTTGCATGTTCCAATACAGAATACGTCTTAAACTGCCCAGGACTTGCTAAGCCTGTCATTCAAGCCTTGCTGATTAGTTACTGAAATCTTCCACCAGGGAAAAAAAAAAAAACGATAGGGGAAAAAAAAAAGGATTCCATTGGATTTCAGCTAATCCCCAGTTTTGCAGCTTGCTCTCAAACTGAAAAATAAGGAGAAATTGAATTACATACAGTCATGTCAAACCATACAGTGTAAATGAAAGCGTGGAACCGCATCAGCTTCCAGAGGAAGAAAACCAGCCGCTAAGACTGTTACCCAGACATTAATGTCAATAACTCATCTTTAGACCTGCCATGCAGAAATCTATTTTTTTCCTATTTAAAGGTCAGATGAAACTAAAATTCTGTGAAAGAGTATTTGGGCCCAAATGTCACTCAATTTGGACATTACCATCTGAAAAATGTTCCTGCTTTTACATCTCCAGGCTATGCTGCCAATGCAAAGGGTATTTGCTCCAGAGGAGCAGCGGGGTATGGGCACCCCAGCAGTGGATTTGCAGCTTGACTCCTTTAAAAGGAGCCCCAAAACCAAGAATTGAGGCAGAGGTGAGGGATATTGCTGTTGTCCCTCAGATGCAATGGTTTTCTCCCTTCTCCTGCAAGAGAGGCGGTGATGGGCATTGCAGGGGATATGGGCACCTGTGCCCATGAAATGGAGGTTAGGAGCCATCTGGGCTCACACAGCTTACACCAGATGAGGAAAGCAGTTGGTCTTCAGGGAGGAGTCAATGTGGGTGTGGGACTGGGGAACCAGATGAAGGAGGGAGGCCTTGTGAGGGATTTGGAAATCAAAAGGTGTTTTGGTCCCTGTTTCTGTCTCTTGGAAAGGAAAGGTCTCCTGAAATCCATTCCAATGCAGCTGAGATGCCTTGTAAAGCTATACAGGAGTCAAGGGGGGCTGTGGGGCAGGGCAGCTCCTGCTGACTGTCAGCCATATGATTTGGGCCACTCTATCATGCTGAATCTGCAAGTGTGAGCTGCTCTTTGACATATTTTACCCCCAAGCTTGTCAGAAAGCCTGTCTTTGGGAAAGTAAAGCCAGCAAACCTTCTAAAGCATTATCAGCACTGCAGGTTTGCAAGTTAAAAAGCCCAAGGTGCAATGATGTGTCTCACCTGAAGCTCATGATCAGAAGTTAATGGCAGGTGGTTTGTGTACAAAAGGGTGTCCCCTGAGCTTTCTGTTGCTCTCCAGATGAAGGATTTTTCTTGTTTGCCTTTAGTCTCTGTTGCTCTTTGGTTTATCCAGTTGCTTTGCAGTCTCTTTGGACCATGATTGTCTGTTTCTGTGTGTTTGAGCAGCATAATGAGGTACTGATTTTGCTTGGATGTTACAGTCGTATGAATGACTAGTGTCTTGTTCATCAGCTATAAATTCTGGGAAAACTGGCTAGCTTTCTTGTTGTGCTCTTGGACTATGTCACCAAGAAAGTATCTGATTTCTTCTATCACTATGGGTTTGGGCTACACTCAAAAGACCTGACTCTTCTTTTATTGCTTTTGTTCCTATTTCAGATCCTTAACCCTTAAAACTGCCTTGCACTTATCCCTTAGATTTCAAGCTTTTTCCCCCCCTTCTGAATGTTCTTTGTTGTTGTCAAAAGAAGAAATGTGATAATTTGGAAGGTTCACAGAAAGCATGTTTTGTGATTATTGTTCTTGTGATCTGTCCAATGTAAACTGCTTCAGAAAAACTCTGTTCCAGCAACTTTAATTCACTTTTGCAGAATACTGGATTTGCCGTTGGCTGAAGACAAGGGCTTTTCTTTTAATGGGTACTCTGAGAGGAATGCAGTTTAACCATTCTGTTTCTGTCCTGGCTTTTAGCTCTGCCTAATGGTGCCTGGGGGAGTCCTATGTGGTTAACTTAAGGCTAATCTTCTTTTGCCACTTTTTTATTGTGGATAAGGGGCAAATATGTTCCTTCCATTGCTTTTGAGTGTGGTGGCCCATGGTACTGTGCTACCGGGCAGTTTGAGGGTGCCTGCTCACCCCTTAAGGGCCAGTGGTACTTGGAAGCATGGCTTCAGTAGGGGAGCTGAAAACGCGAAGCTTGGCTTTCCATGGTGGGTAGAATGACACTACTTCACACCAGCTGGGAACCCAGCCTGGTTTTGTGTTTCTCTTCACTTTAGAGTCCTTTTACTGGGTGTTTACAAGGTTGCTGATGCCTGCAAAGGCAAGGCTAGGTTCCCACAGCTGACTTTCTCTCCCTGATCCTGGAGAACTGCTGAACAATCTGGGGTGTATGCCAACTTGATAGGAAAGACTTACCCTGAATCTCTGCCTCTTTGTTTGCTCTGTTGCTGTGGTCCCCTGGCAGCAATCATTCCAGGAATTAACTCTTCTAAAATAACACGACTTTTTCTTTCACTTTTTTTTCCCCTCTAATCCTTTAAGTTCTTTAACTCTTGCTAAATCAGAGCAGAGGTGGTCATGGTGAACTTTACCAAGTTTACCTCTTCAAACTCATCGCTCCAGTGAGTGGATTTCTGCTTTCCACCTCCTCCACTGGAAACTGCAGGGATCGTGCTCACTTAGCACTTCCACTGTGTGGCAGGACGCAGGCACTTCCATATGGACAAATGATGACTAGAGGGCTATGGCTAATAGTCGGGTACGTGTAACGATAGCACTGACTATAAGGCAGTAATGTCCTGTCTTTTAGTACAGCTTCTTAAATCTTGAAGGACGTAGGCTTAACCTCCCAGTGAAAAACAGGCAGAGGCATGTTGTTTAAGAGCAAACTTAGTCTCAAATGCAGTAGAGCCATGAACTGTGGTCTCTCCTACCATCCTTAGCTTTCTGCTGCCATCACTGGGAAAGTATCCGCCCTTGTCAACATGACAAGGTGGTGTAGCAATGGTGCTACAGTGAAGCTGTCCTATCTCCTTTATTAAAAGAACATGCATTTCTGCTTTGAAAAGAGTTTCCTGGAAGGTATGTAAAGAGGTGCAGCCATGTAATCTAATGGAGTTAAATCGTGACACTGTTCTGAGTTTGAATTAGATGACAGAAGCTTTGCCTAAAAAGCAATGACAATTTTGTTTGGTTGTATGGGAGCTAATGGCAATATAACAAAGAGCTCAAACCTTGAAAACCTTTCTAAAGGGTCAGGTTCTTGTTACTCTTTCTGATGCATCTGTTAACCTTCAGAAAGCTACGTGAGTGTTTAGAAGGAGAAGGTGCTCTATGTTAAATGCATCCTTTATCTGCTTAAGATAAAGAATGGATTTTTGGCAAGAGTTGCAGAGCAGAAGAGAGTTCTGCAATCTGAAATAGAGGATTCGTGTTTCCTGATCTTTGCAAAAAGCAGAAGAGTTGATTTCTTTTTTTTCTTTTAAGACTTAATGCATGTGGTGTAGGTCCCTTTCAAGAAGTGCTTGAAGAAACTAAATCTCTATTTGTGGATTGTGGTGACGCAAAGAAATTCCTTAAAGCAAAATTTAATATCTTGTGGAAAAAGCGAGAGCTGGTTTTTAAATGCATTTCTAAACATAGTATTTTTCTTCTTGTTTTCTTTAGAAAACAGATTCTGATTTGGATGATGTGACTTGATGCAGTCTTTTTCTGTTCTTTATTGTTGTGTTATTAAAACCTTTTGGTGCATGTAATTAATCTAGTTCAAGATTAATAATGGAATCTTACTGACTTGAAAATCCTGGAGCACAGGTTGACATTTAAGTTTTCTTCATTGATTGTATAGTAATATATGAATAATTAACCCTCAGTTTTTACTCACATGTGGATTCCATATGTCCATTGATTTTAATTCGTGTTTTTTTATGGTCTGTGATGTATCAGATATTCCTTTTATGTAGTATAGGCTTTAGTATTTCCATCAGTAAAAAGCACTGATCAAGGTTCTGCTCCTGTTGCACAGATAACTGACTCCCAGTTCTGTTTGGTACTCAAATATATCTTATGCTAAACTGTGTTTAACAAATATATCTGTTTGTTTCACTGAAATGTTCAGAGTATCTGCTTGATTTGTGATATAGTCTTCTGCCATTAGTGTCCTTGGTGGGATATTGTTGTGAGTAAAGGTCACTTTTGTGGAATAAAGATGCTCTGGGCTACAAAATGTAAGAGGGAAGTTATGGACCATACCCAGACAGTCAATACCTAGAGATCAAGACAGCTTTCTTGTTCACATGCATAATGTGGTACTGCTACAAATAAAGAGCCATTAGGTGAAAACTTACGAGTGCCTGAAGTTGCTGGAGTGCCTGAGGGGTAAGCTGGGTTCTTGCTGTGAATGTATAAAAACCTTGTGAATGACTGAATTAATACTTCAAAGCTAGTTCTCTTCCATTTTAATTAAGTAGCACTTAAGCAGCACTGGTACTTGACATTTAGGTCTTAGTTTGTAACAGCATCTGCTGTTAGCTTTGGGAGCTTCAGAAGTTCCGAGTACTCATCTTGTTACTTTTGGCCTGATTTAGAGAGAGAGAGAGATATATTCCCCCACAAAAATAGATATAAAAATGCACATGTGCACACACATACATTTATATGTATTTTTATTTCTGTATTTATATATGTTTCCTACATGTTTATTTTGGTATCTCTAAATATCATCCTTGCTCTAACTGGCCATCCAGAATTATCAGTTACTTGTAGAAAAACATGGAGCTGGGTCTGTGGCCCCATCATTCCCTGTCCACGTGGCTAGAAACCCCCTGTAAGCAGGCCCCACTGTTGCTTGTTCTGTCTCCATTTATGCCAGGTATGTAAGCATAAGCCTCACGTTAAGCATGTTTAAGAGATCTTGTTGATTACAATGGGAGTACTCCTACAGCTTATAGCTGTGCAAATGTTTACATACCTGGCTCGGTCTGGGCCTATGTAAAGATCTGTCTCTTTTTCCCTTCGAAGCCTTTTCTGTCTGCTGCTTTGAAATTTCCCATGCTTCATGCTTTCCCCTAGCTGGAGGGAGTCTGCCCAGGTCCTTACTAGGAGAAGTCCCAAGGTTTGAAGACAGCAGCTTGCTGGGGGTTTAAGGACTGGCTAAAACAACAAGCCATGCCTCAATAAATGAGCGCAGGCTGATAATAAGGTTCACGTTACTGGAGTTTTCACTAGTCTGAAGTCTGCCAAGGTGTTCCAAACTTGTTCTTTGTCGTTTGTTTCCCTGCTGTCCTGGACAACAGCCTCACATCATTACTTAGACAGTAACTGTTATCCTACATACCTTAAAAAGAAGAAACAAACTTTGTCTGCATGTATTGCTGTGGTTCACAGGGAAGACTGCATGTTGGGGCCTTGTGTCTGGACAGCCCTACTCTCCATGTTGCTGCATGTGTGTGAAAACAAATATATATATATTTATATATAATGTATGTGTGCATGCAAACAAAGATACCACCTTTTCAAATAGATTTTCCTTCCAGAAGGTAAAATAACAGGAAGACCATCGCAAGAAATAACTCATTGGTTGTTCCATGAGGTGAATGTGCTTATGTTGGTGAAAAATAAGGCTGGTTTTCAGTCCTTCACTTTCTCTGTTTGCTTGATGATTACATTGTTGCTCTGTAGAATTAAAAAATAACCTATGAAAGGAGTCTTTTCCGGACTCAAAAGATTTATGCTCTGGTTTGTTGATGTTTTGCAATAGCACTTATGTCAGTCCTGCTCTTAAACCGAGTGTGGTAATGAGGCTTTAATATATTTTAAAGGGAATTTTGCTAGCTTAGATTTTTTTTTTAAGTAGTACATATGTAATAGTTGTACAGGTTTAAAAACCAACCTGCTGTTTATGTGCTGTAATAGAATATACAGTCAATGTTTACTTTCTATCAGCAAATTCCGTGTGCAACAGACCTTTATAGAACCAAGCCTAATTTTAATGACTGTGAAATTGCCCATGTCTATGATGAAGGCCCTGATTTTGCTAAGCAATTGGACATACGCTCCCTTTCACCAAAAGGCTCTTTAGTACTTGTCAGGGCTGAAATGCTGGAGTGTACAGTTGGTTATTTTATGCCCCAGAATTAATGGGATGTGGAAGTGGCAGGCATATCCATGTTTCCAGAGTGCCTCTTGAAATACAGTGTTAAGAATACGTCTATTCTGGAAATGCTGGTCATCGTGGTCTGTGATGTGATGGAAAGAAGGTCCTGAGGGAGCTGCCAGATCAGAGCACGCAGCCACAGTGGGCAGTCAGGCCTCCCAAAGTGCCGTGGTTACTGTTAAAATGTTTATGGCTTTACCTTGTGCTTAATTAGTGTGCATGTGGTGTTTGTGGGCTTCTCCAAACCCACAGAGCACTACTGAGGTTCAGTAGCAATGCATTTGCTTAAACAATTTATATCACTGTCGGCTGTCCTAATGGACAGTTTTACCCCTTCTGCTGTATGCAGGAACTACTTTGTGCTAGGAATTTAGCCATGTCTTGTCTCATCTTATTGTATTTGTAAAATTACATTGGGTTCATGGATAAAGGAATATTCGTAGGCATTTCTTTAGAGCAATTCTTACATTTGCAATGGGAGATGGGCACCCTGAGTTTAGTGGTAGGAGATTGCTGTGGAGGAGCTACCTTTGAAGCATTACAAATGCTTCTAACACTTAAGTGTGAGCCAGCTTCACTGGGAGCTTTGAATAGTGCTAAGGCTTAGAATAAGCCTGGGGCTGTGCACAGATAGAGCTGAGAACTGCAAGTCAGCAGGAACATTGCATTGGTGAACCTGCAGTGACAGCCTTAGCCTCTCTTGAGGGCTGTCACCAATCCTGTTGGTAGACAGCAACAGCAGGATGTGACAGGTCTGAGTTAAAAGTGATATTGCAGCTGTGCTACAGGTGTCTTATGTGACCTTAAGTAAAGCTTCTGAGTCGTTCTGTGACTAGAGTCTGTATTACTATAAGCAAGAAAAATAGTATCTCCTGTATCTCTTCTGTTTATATGGTGAGTGATTTGGGATGGAACGCTCTCACAATACCACTGTGCAGCACATAACACAGGGGAGTCTTAAGCAACTAATATAAATAAGAGATGTTCTTCTTCCAGCTCAAGGGATAAAAGAATGTTTAGAAATCTAGCTTGTTTAAATGAAGCTAAACAGATTGGATTTGGTATGATAACTATTGGTGTTGCAACTGTCACTATTGCTGCTCAAGCACAGTCTTTTATCTGTGTGGAAAGATATGAAAATAAAGGGTTATTCAGAGTATTATAAAAGCCTGAGGCTGCTCTTTCAGTATGCTTCTTGTAAACCAGCAGCCGTAGTCGTTGCCAGTCTTTGGCCTTCTTGCCCCTTGCATCTGCTAAGGGACAAAGCTTGCTGAGGAGCTGAGCCCACTTACAGTAGATCAGACATCCCAGGAATCCTTGGCACCTCCCTTCCCTTCCTGTCTTTGGCTTGCTCCCTGTTAACATTTCTTTCTATTGAGAAAAGGAACAACAATATTGTTTTATGAACTGTTATCAGACATGTAAAAGTACTTTAAAATATGGTTTATTTTTCCTGAGCCTGTATTTATCATATAAGTGCATTTAGTTTCTTTATCATAATGCCTTTTAAAAACAAAAGATGTCATTATAACAAAACATGACTTAGATACATTCTATTCAAAACCTGATTATAAAATCGTAGAATGGTTTGGCTTAGAAGGGACTGTTAAAGGTCATCTAGTCCAACTCCCTTGCAATGAGCAGGGACATCTTCAACTGGATCAGGTCACTCAAAGCCCCATCAAACCTGACCTTTGCTTGCACGGATGGAGCATCTAACACCTCTCTGGGCAACTCATTCCAGAGTTTCATTGTTCTCATTGCAAGTATTTAATTTTTTTTTTCCCTTATACCTAGTCTGAATTTCCCCACCTTTGGTCTAAAACCATCACCCCTTGTCCTATTACTATAGGGCCTACTAAAAAGTCTGTCCCTATCTTTCTTATAAGCTCCCATGGAGGCCTTCTTTTACGATCTAATGAAGGAAGGATGAGGCATATCCTCAGACACATTACAATAGAAAAGCCTAAAATTGATGGCTAATCTTTTATTTTTACTGACCCTAAGGAGATATAAAAGCAAGTAACTATTTCTCCCAGATGGAAATTTATACTTGAAGCCATATTGCAAAGTTTGTTTTCCATAAGGTTTCAGTTTGAGGAATAAAGACTTTGCAAGAGATTCTCAGAGTTAACTTATGGTTAAGAAGGATGAATGAAGAAAAGGATATCAATATATAAATTCTAAATTCTTGCATCTCACAACTTTAATCCTTTGTCATGATTCTGTGGAAATGGCTCGTGCCAGAATGTGAGTTTCCCCCATTTTGATGAATATTTATTCAAAGGTTCTCTCAAAGGGAACCTAGCATTCAGATCTGAAGGTGTTTTTGAAATACCCATTCCCTGAGCGTTTCAAGAATGCTTCAGTTCTTGCTGTAGGTGATTGCCAAGTATTCACCTTGTGTTAATGAGCATCTTCAAGGCAAGTTCAGCTGCTGCTGGGACAATACAGACACTGATGTGACTTTACTAACTTTTCCGCAGGTTTACCGCAAGCCCCCTCAAAATCCCAAATACCAAAACAACACCCATACCTAACTCCAAAAAGCTATAGGGAGCTTTAAATGAAAAAAGAAAAAAGTTTGATATGCAGACTGTTTCTGTGGGAAGTTCTTACAGTGAAGATCATCTCTGGTGGAAAAGAGAGCATGAGTTCTGTTTTCATCAAATCTGGAATTTTAACCTTTTCCTGAAAAGTGGAAGCCCACCACATATATTTATTGGTTTATTAGTAACAGGCTAAGTATTCTCAGAACTAGAAATGACGTTATCTGACCTGAAGGAACATAAACTGGATTTTTTTTAAGAAAGGTATTGTCTTCTATCACTTCAAACCTATTGTCATTAAATCAGTGTTTAAGAGTTGTGTTCACTACATTTAAAAATATACATGTATGCACAGTTGTACCTAATCACTAAGCATATAAAATGTGCCAAACAGTAGTATTTTAATGCTCATGTCATAACATGGGGAACGTGGCTGCTACCCTCTGTATCCAGATCCAGACTGCATGCAATGGTTCCGTGTGCTGTGAGTGTTGTTAGGAGAGCTACCAGCACGATCTCACTGGTAGTTTGTTGTTGCTGTTCTGCTGGCTTCTGCTCTTGTAAATACTGTGTTCATGTGTGTTAGTGGGGCTCAAGCCCTTCTAGAGCTGTGGAAATGCAGAGTTCCTGAGAATGTAAGCCCTGCCTGGGATGAATAGGTGAACCTAGGATGTGAACTTCAAAATGACTTCTACCCATCATGTGTTGTTGGTGACTTGGTGATGCAGCAGCAAGCTCTTTTGGATTTCGTGTATAATGGGTTCGTGTGTTTCTCTTCTAAGAATAAAAATTGAGGAAGTAATGCTTGCACAACTCTATGATGCATGGGTAAAACATTAAAGAAATGTTGTACATGAAATTAAATTTACACTTCAAAGATGTCCAAGCACGCTAAGATAAGGAAGACAAAGCCAAGGCCCAAATGATGCCTTTATTTGTACCTTAACCTGATACATTTGTGCCTTTACACTGTCTATAAATATCTGTTTCGCAGGCCACTGATTGTGCTTTTGATATCACAGATTTGGGAATGTGAACAAGTGAGGAGAAAACCCTGTTTCTAAGCCACTAAAATGTAAGAATACTTCCCAAATATTAAGAAGGGAAAGATAGGTTATACTTTTAGGAACTCAACTATATGTGTGAGGATGGGCTTGTACAAGAAAATCAATGGGAAAGCAAGGATTTTGAACCTGTAAGCCCAGCTTCAGCTGGTGGTATGGTATCAGTTTTTAGGATAATGTGAGGTTTGCACTATTTGTGAAAGGGAAGGTGCTTCAGGACTTACAGCTCCTTCTGTTAAGTCTGGTAAAACGCAAGGGTAACAAGGGCTTGGTTGTGCCTCTGTATATGTGCATCTGTGGAAATCTTGGGGTGTATATGCTGCAGAAGCTGTAATGCATAAACTGTGCCCAGGGTAAGTGCCAAAGCAACATATGTGAGTTGAAATTGAGAAAAGGAAAAAGGTAGGCTCCATCAAGTAGTACTGGTAAGTATTAACTTATAGTGCCTCATTATTGTGTCTTGTTTTGTTATCCTATCTGATGTTAACCTTTTTACCTAGCCTGTTTTCAGACCCATAGCCTGTAAAATAGGCAGGTAGCAGCTGTCCTAATGCCACCTTGTTACCTAATGCATACCATGGTGAGCTTCTTAAAGAGCATCCTTAGATGCCACCATAAGGAAAACAACAGTAAGAGGAAACTTCTAGGGGATGCTGTTAATGCATTTGTATTCTTAACGTGTATTCTGTAAAGGTTAGTGGCTGAGGACGCTTGGAGTGTCTGTGTAAAAATGAGACATTGCACACGTGCAAGTGAGTCCCTCTCTGACATGTTAGGGAATTGCAGTGCTGAGGATTGGAATGACCCTCTTCATGCTTAACTAACTGTGCTACTTCTATATGTGGCTGAGTCTTGGACTAAACCTTCAAAGTTAACTTTGTCTATCCTATCCTAGTTAGTGATGTGCTGACAGTGGTGAAACTGCAGGGAAGCCAAGTACCTCAGGTACTTCACTGGTACCTTTGTACAAGATAATAGACAGCTTAATTTAAGATATTGCATACTTTTTTTTTTTAAAGTAACTATGTCAAAGTTGAGTTAGAGCTAGATCATATAAAATCTATGGAAAGTCTTGTGGAGGTAGTAAATGTTTGGAAAGCCTATCTTATGGGAAGGGACTGTAAGAGATTGGCTTGTTTAGTTTAGCAAAATAGAGTTGAGAGGGGATTTGACAGCACTCTATAAATACATCCAGGGCTAAATGCCAGAGAGGGGAAAAAACTATTTAAACCCAAGAGCAATATTTGCATAAGAACAAGTGGGCATAAACTTGGCCCTGAATAGGCTTAAACTGGAAATCAGACGGTTTCTACCCCTCACTGTAGTGAGATTGTGAAAATGCCTTCCACTAGGAGCAACTTGGGCACAAAATACTTGTTGTGGGCAATGAGATGGATTATGGTACATAGTTGCCTGTGTGTACAGAGCCCCAGGCTTCATGGGTGCACAGCTTTGTTCTGGCCCTGTATTCCTAATTGCCTGCATTGGTACAGTGGTGATGGGCATGTCCTGTCACTGATGGTGGCCTTCTGCCATGAAAACTACTTTCTCCTTCTGAAAGTTAAAGTAGAGGTGTTAAATTACAGCTGTATTAATAATGTCCTGTAACGGTCTGGGGAAGTTTCTAACACCCCTTGTGCCTGTACATGTAACTGTGGTTGACAGAACGCCTGCTGGTACCTCTGGGGCTTTCATATTAATACGGTTCCTCTTGTAAGGAAGAAATGCAGGATTAGGCTTTTAATTGTGTAACCCAAAGGAGGAAAAATAGCTTCCCTGACTGGAAATGGCAGCAGTATCTCAAAAAGATGGTACAGAGAAGGACTTTTTCATAATTCTAAGTGATTTTTTCTTTTGCTGCTAAAAATTCGTCTGACCTTTAAATTTGATGCTTATGATCAAAACATTTCCTTCTGTACTGCAGTTAGACTAGCTCTATGGTATACATTGAACAGGTAAAAGAACTGGAGTGCAGAGGATTTGGGGATGTGCGGGCTAGCACAGTGATGCCACGACACTGATCTGGTTTTCTACCACATGGTCTGCCTATTGAACCATCCATCCATGCTGAATGACAGCACCCATGAAACTTTACGGTGTTTCTGTTTTCACCTGCTATTTTCTGTTCTTTCTCTCTGAATCTTTGGCCTTTTGAGCTGAAACTTTCCAGGCTTGCTTCTTTATTTATCAGGGATATTTTAGGAACCCCTCTCCTCCCTAAAGCTTAAAAAGTAAGTACATGCAAACTTGGTGGTGGACCTCTCTGTTGCAGAAAGAGCTGAGGAGAAAAAGCTGAAGCAGGCACAGAAATAGCTTCCTGGGAAGCAGATTGACATGTAGTACTTTGGTAGCTTTGATTTGAGTCAGCTGTAACTTGCTGAAATTTGTACTCTGTGTACAAAGGTACTTTCTGTACTGAGAGTTAAACTGGCAAAATGCATAGTTTCGGACAACCTGAAAGATTGTAGTGGTACCCAGTCAGCAGTGTGTCAATTATATTAATTTTCCCCCTGTTTTGATTGCTTTTCCTTGCACCTTACATATTCCTTCAGTGTAGGATGGGAAATGTGCCTTGCCTTAGCATTGTCTGTAGCTTGCTACTGTTCTGTGCCATCAATGAACTGCAGTGAGGAAAAGGTAGTGTGTGTGACACTTCTGCTCACGCTCTGGAAAACACTGCCCTGAGAGAGTGAGAAATACCCAGATGTTTCTGGTGCTGACCTCCATCATTAACCTCACTTTTCATGCCTTCCTCCACAGCATGGTGTTAAGGAAAAGGGAAGCTGAAGCCAAGCATCACAGTCTTCACTGCTCCTTAGGAGACTGGGATGAAGGCTTTCTTATGTATAGAATTGTTTCCCAAAAGTTAGTTTTGGAAGGTTTTAGGACTTCACAGACTGGGCTGAATTCCAGTCATGTTTTAATTAAAGGAAGAGAATTAAGCGAGTTTCTTGCAATATGTTTTAAATGAAAAGTGTTATTTGGGAAATGCACAATCTTTCAAAGTCTTTGAAAAATGTTTTCTGATACTTTGTTTAAAACAAGACTTAAAAAAACCAAACACACCCCCCAGACTGTGGCATACACCTTTGAAATAACCAAAGCAATTAAATAAATCCAAGCAAGATGAAATTACATTTAGGAGGATGGGTGTCAACTAAATGTGGGAGTTAGTATTAACTGGGGTTTGGGGTGATTTGGGGTAAGAAAGTCTATTACTCGCCCCGCATCTACTGCTTGATGACTTCAGCTTCTTTCATTCAGAGCAAGCCATTTTCCTTCTTGAAATAATGTAAAAATACATCCATCCATGCATTTACATTACGGCTGTCACCATGCTTTCTTGGCAGCATCACATGAAGTCATTTTAGCTACACTGTATTTGGGTTGGGAGAGGGAGTTTGTTTGTTTACAATTTGAAGCGAAAACTATTTTGGCTTCTGCATTCTCTCTTTCCAGGAAAAAAGTGCCACAAACCCTTTAATTTCTTTCTGATGTTTAAAGACTTGGAAAGCTGCATCTTGGGAGGGTACAAACATATCTAATACCCCTTTTCATAGTGCCTGTGTCTGTTTCACAGCACATAAATCCTTACAGAATTCTGCTTCCAAGAATAATATTCTATTCATATATATATATAAAGAAAAAGAAATGAGATAAGTTGCAGATTAGCAGATGGCAGATACTTAGCAGCCTATGTGCACTATTTTTTTTAATGGGTTCAGTTCCAGGGGGGTAGCTGTCGTCATCCCCAAACCTGCCATAACAATTGCTGACAAAACTGAGTAGGGAATCTTTTCCCACCTACTTCGGGAAGTTGTTCCCAAAGTCAGGGATAAGGTAAGTTTTGGAGGGATAGTCTGGGGATGCCCACATCTTCCTGACTCGTGTTTTCCCTTTCTGTAAGTAAACAGAAGCCTGCAGTCTCCAGGGCTGTCAGTGTAGCACCCTTCACAAGCCTGAAAATTCGTCTGAAATAAGCTACTACGTAGGCACACCAAAATTTGCTATAAACGGGTCCTAAGTACATAATTACATGATAGACCCAAATGGCTCCAAAAGAGTTGCTCCAGGCTATTGTGTAAGCAATACTCCTTTGAGAAATGTATAAATACATGTAATTCAGTACATAATACACATGTTAAAAAACTAGCTAATTACATATTTTCCCAGGAGAACGAAAAGGCTCCAAAAGAGCTACTCCAGCCTCTCCAGTACACAATGTGTGTTTTATAACCTTTCATGAATCTCTTCCATTCTTTTTCCTTTGGGGGGGGGGGAACAGTAAGGAAATTAAATACAAAACACCTACTGTATATTTAATTTAGAGGACAAAACGCAATGTTGAAATAACATTAAGGGTGTGACGCAAACCAAGGAAAGCCAGGAAATTGAGTGTAAAGGCTGTTACTCCATCCTTAACTAACGTCACTTGTATAAGGTTTCAGGCCACTGTTCTGTAATGGCAGATTTTAAATCTCATCACTGAAAGCAGACTTGTGGCCTGTATGCACTTACAGGTACTTAGAGGGGCCGTACTGCTGGAATACCTGAGTGCTGCTCATGTACTTATTTATATGCCAGAATATACAATATATACATGTTTTTAGGAATATACACATGCTTTTTTTTTTTTTTACCATTTTTTGTCTTTCCTAGTGCTGAAATTACCATGGCTTTTTCATTTGCCTTAAGAATAGGTTCACATGTATCGCATGATGAAGGGAAAGGAAGGAGCAAATTTTGCTTTTAGCTCTGGTGATGGTGGGATGTGTGGCTGCTCTGGGGCGTTTTAGGGGGAGCAGGGGAGATCTACCCTGAAGTCTGGATCTGTAGGGGAAATCCTGCTGCCCAGACTTGCTGTGCAGGTGCTGAACTGCATGCTGCCTTGGCAAATAGGCAGTCTGATGGTCTGATGTGTTCATAGCAACCTGTGTTACTAAGCAGATTATAGTGTTTTTCCTTGCGTTTTCCATTTGATGGAAATGTAAGTTGCGCCCTCTCTTTTGCATCATTCCCTGAAAACAAACAAAATGGTGCATACCCTTCATATTATCAGAAGGGCACAGCACATGCAGGTATGTTTCATTCAATTGTATATTAATTTTTCCATGGAGCCCAACAGAATATGCTGCCATTTACTTCATCTATGATGGGTTTTGTGTATGCTGCTTGTAAAAATCGTACTGTGGGATAGCTATGTTTATCCCAAATGCTGGCCCAGGCAGAACACCAGGGATACAGAAAGCAGATAACACTTCTGTTCTTATTAGATAGGTACGATAACACTTCTGTTCTTATTAGATAGATAAAGTCTCTTCACTGGAGTGAAACCCAAAACCCCAAAGTCTTTCAAAACTTTTCTTCCTTCCCATCTCCTCTCCCCAAGAACTAAGACAGTTTTCCTGATGTAGATGTACCAAGGATGTGAGGTATTCACCTGCGATGCAAGAGACTTGGTGAGTGTTTGATTAGCAAAGCAGAAAGGTCCCCATAGGAGAAACCCAGAAAGCCTCACCTGAGCATAGGTAGGAGACCAGAGTAACTACCTGGAGTATGAAGCCTGTCAGTGAGTCTCTGGTCTGAAGGAGGGAAACTTGGCTTAGGCCAGGTCACTGGTGTCCTTGAGAGGTGCTGTTTGGGGGCTCTGTAGCATTAGCTTCTTATCAAAACAGAAGATTTCTGCTGCATCCAAAGCTGCCACTTGCTCATGTGTTCTTGCTGATTCAGCAAATCAGTGTGGCTTTATCCAAATGCTCCTGAGAAGCTCAACCCTTTCCTCAGTCTTTTCTACTGCTAATTGTTTGCGGTGTGTGACACCTCACACAGTAAAATAGTTACGGAAAGCCTGATCTTTCATATTCCTATGGGTTTGGGGTTTGTTTTTTTAGGAGAAAGTTTTTAAAGTTGCTTAGCTGCATTTTTTTTTTTCTATTGAATCAGCCAATGGGACTGCCTTTGTGTTCATGACATCCTGTTCCTTTGGATGACAAGGCAAGGTGGTTAAAAAAAATAGAAGGGAATGTTAACTTTCAGGGGGTCACAAAATTGGATGGGCTTGAGGGGGAGCTGCAGCATTAGACAGGCAAAACAGAAGGTGAGATTAAAGAACATTAAAATAAAGAAACCCCTGCAGAGAGTACTCTTTACACAAGCGTGACAACCTCAATCTGAAACAGGATTTAACAGTGTTTTCCAGCCGAGTGGTGCTGTTGGTGATTAGCAGCCTTTAGAATTGGAGGTGCCTCTTATATCCAGACTCAGAGCATTAACTAGGTTGGTATGTGCTTAATAGCAGTACAGATGGCAGAGAGGGAATGACAGATAAGTCTTTACCCTCTGGTTTACCTGACGGATATCCAGTTTTTGTATTGGGTGGTTCTGTTTGATTTGGCATAATGCAGGCTTTTAGGTTAGAGGAGCACTTGCTTGCTGTTAGCAGTGGGACTGCCAGTCTTGTACAGGGTCCCCCGAAGGTGTTTGCAACCAAAGCAGGAGGCTAGAGGATGGTGAAGGCATCTGCTTAATGAAGTGTAGCACACCAGGGGTATACATTAATGGGGAGCTTACACACTGGGGTGCAAGAAAGAAAGAAGGAGAGAGTCCCATGCCTGGAGAAGAAAGCTGTGTGGAGACCTCATAGCAACCTTCCAGTATGTGAAGGAGGCTCCAAGGATGCTGGAGAGGGGCTCTTCATCAGGGGCTGTAGCTGTAGGACAAGAGGAAACATATTTAAACTTAAACAGGAGAGTTTTAGGTTAGATATAAGGAAGGAGTTCTCTTCTGTGAGGTTAGTGAGGCACCGGAACAGGTTGCCCAAGGAAGCTGTGAATGCTTTATCCCTGGCTCAGCGCCAGGTTAGAGAGAGCCTTGAGCAAACTGGTCGGGGGAAGGTGTCCCTGCCCATGGCGAGGGGTTGGAACTAGGTGATCTTAATGTCCTTTCCAACCCAAACCATTCTATGACTCCTGTGAGTCTCTTAATATAGACCACAATAACCTAGCACAGGCAGCAGGTAAGTTGGCATTGGCTAACTGCTGGTGAATTAGTGGGTGCTGGCTACCCTGTAGCATGCCCCTGCGTAAGGTCTCTTAACCTGCAATACCTTTAACCATTCAGTACTGGGCTGCCCATTGAGTTGCCTCTCATCTGATGAGCAGGATGAAAGCATGCAGTGTGGCTCTCCCAGTTCAGGCCTTGCTCCCAACATGAGGTTTTCTGGTTTGGCATTGAAATGGAGCTGGCCTCCGTTCCTAGATATGTGTACTTTTAAATCTGAATCTGAGCACTGAAGGAACCTGAATCCAAGATACTTTGACACATATTTCACCTGAGCCAGCAAGAGAACATTAAAAGTCTGTTATCATCTACAGCAAACACACTGGGTGATTTTTCAGCTTTGGGCTTTGCCTGGCCCTAATTTTAATAATAAATGCATGTGCAAATGAAAACTAGACACTGTGTTGACATCGGGTAATTTATAATTATAGGATTTTACCTTCATTTCCATAGCAACAGCCTGGGATGCAGCAAACAAAATTATGAATTGAATTCTGGTTTCACTTCTACTTAGAGTGCTCCAGAATATCCCCATTCATTGGCGCCAGCATCATTATTCTGTTGATAGAATGGCTAACTGGAGCCTTCATCTGGCCTTCCTGCCTTCTTTTGAAAGACAATAAAGGAAAAGGAGTGCTGAGAGGAAAAAACATCTGGAATTCAGAGCTTAAATGATACTAGGGAGAATAGGAAATTAGTTGTTTAGGAAGATAAGCACATAAATAGGTTGTTGTTTGGTGAGTCAGTGCCTTAAATTTATAGCACACTGGTTAATCCTTGATCCTGGCTTCTGTGCCTATTATTTTGCACAGAAAATTTAAAGTATGTTGCTGTTAGTAAAATGTGCAGGCACCCTTGCAGGGTTCTGTAGGAGAGATGAAATTAGT